GAAAGACTGAGGCAGGAGCTGTTTGTGTGCTGGGAGAGGCAGCGTAGAAAGAGAGCTTAACTTCAGATATGCAGGATGCCTGGTTGGGAAGAAAAACAAGGTTGAATAACTCACTGATAACAAGATGTATAGCCATGTCTGTGTATCTGAAGCCACAGGAAGGTTGTTCTTTTCATGATCCATTCTCTGTCCACTCTCTCCAGCCAATCTGCTCCCTCTCCCACACTCTGGGGGGGGGGGGGGAGGAGACAGACAGACACACACACACACACACACACACACACACACAGAATGTTCTGACCAGCCACTGCCAGGACAGAGAGCTTCATCTATGCTGATGATCATGCCATCACTGCTCTAGCAGGGAGCTTTGAGATGGTTGAACAGAAGCTCTCCGAAGCTATAGGTGCTATTACTGCCTATTACAGGGGAAACCAGCTGACATCCTAACACATCTAAAACACAGACCTGTGCTTTTCATCTTAAGAACAGACAAGCATCCTGAGCTCTGAGGATTACTGGGAAGGAATACCACTGGAGCATTGCAGCACACCCAAATACCTGGGAGTTACTCTGGACCGTGCTCTGACCTACAAGAAGCACTGCCTGAATATCAAGCAAAAAGTGGGCACTAGAAATAATATCATACGAAAGCTGACTGGTACAACCTGGGGATCACAACCAGACATGGTGAAGACATCTGCCCTTGCGCTTTAATACTCTGCTGATGAGTATGCATGCCCAGACCGGGTGACTCGGAAGTCACTGAACAGAATTGCTCTGGCACCACGAGATGCAGAGTCAGCCTTAAGAAATGGGGCCACAAAGTGGAGTCCACGACATGCGAGTGTGGAGAAGAGCAAACCACAGACCACCTATTACAATGCAGCCTGAGCCCTGCCACTTGCATAATGGAGGACCTTCTTATAGCAAAACCAGAGGCACTCCAAGTGGACAGTTACTGGTCAAAGTACATTTAGTATAATGTCAAGTTTCTAAACTTTGTGTTTTTAAAAATACATTACAACTGTATCCTTGGTTCGCTCCTGATACGATAAATAAATGAAATACCTGGATTATTTGGCAATGTAGAAGGGGCCTCAGTCCCACTTCCCCATGTTTGTAGTGGTCTGCCATTAGACGATAACATCACATTGCATCAGTCATCAGATGATCACATGAGATATAAGGGACCCTAATGTTCCAATGAAGTGCACTTCTTTCTGGATTTCATATTCTGGTCATGTTTTTAATGTTTTCCTCTGCCAGACATTTCCTTTATTTCTGTTTTTAAGTAAATGTCTCTATGCCCCGAACTAGTTGGAAAGCTTGCATTTATTATACAAACATTAGGATTGTTAATCTACACGGAAACATTTGTTTCCCTACAGTACAAACCCAAGGGCTTGAATTTTGCAAAACATATAAAACTTTTCATAGATAATTTGATTCGAATTCTCATAATAGGTTATCATAGATTCAAATACTTCTATAAAACTGTACATTGTGCCAGGAGCAAGAAAACAGCCAGTAAATTGTAGCCAGAGATACAATTTGTACATCAAGGGAAAATAATAGTAGTGGAAACATCTTTTCCTCCGGCTTGGCCTCAAAAGAAGCACTGTGTTCCATTCTGGAATCCAGGCTGAAAAACAAAATTCACAAAAAAGAAATTTGCATCCAAGGTGGTAAAGGAGCTGGAAACAAAGCTCAGAGGAACAGCGGATTGAAGTACATGTGTTTTTTTTTTCCAGAATAGGTGACATGACAATCATATTTAACTCTCTGAAGGATTGTCATTGGGAGCTTGTTTCTGCTGCTCAAGAACAGGACTTCAAACTTAAAGATTCAAATGACAAGCAAGGGAACTTCCCACACTCCTGGCATTGGCATGGCCTCTTCTGTGTGGAGTCTTTTGTTGCTCACCATTTGTGAATTGTCAGAAAAACATTTCCCACACTCCTGGCATTGGTATGCCATTCCTCCTCTGTGGGATCTCCAGTGATCTATAAGGGGGTATTCAGGAAAAAAAAACTTCCCACACTCCTGACATTTTTACCCTTTCTTTCCTGTGTAAAGTTTTTTATGCCTAATCAATTGTGAACTGTAAGCAAAACATTTCCCACACTCCTGGCATTGGTATGGCTTCTCTCCTGTGTGGACTCTTTTGTGGCTCACCAAGTGTGAACTGCGAGCAAAACATTTCCCACACTCCTGGCATTTGTATGGCTTCTCTCCTGTGTGGACTCTTTTGTGGGTCACCAATTGTGAACTGTAAGGAAAACATTTCCCACACTCCTGGCATTGGTACGGCTTCTCTCCTGTGTGGAGTCTTTTGTGGCTCACCAAGTGTGAACTGTAAGCAAAACATTTTCCACATTCCTGGCATTGGTATGGCTTCTCTCCTGTGTGGATTCTTTTGTGGCTCACCATTGCTGAACTGTCAGCAAAACATTTCCCACACACCGAGCATTGGTATGGCTTCTCTCCTGTGTGGAGTCTTTTGTGCTTCACCAAGTCTGAACTCTCGGCAAAACACTTCCCACATTCCTGGCATTGGTATGGCTTCTCTCCTGTGTGGAGCCTTTTGTGCCTCACCAAAGTTGAACTGTCAGCAAAACATTTCCCACACTCCTGGCATTGGAATTGTGTCTCTCCTGCATGATGTCTTTTGTGCCTCATCAATTTTGAACTGTCAGCAAAACACTTCCCACACTCCTGGCATTGGTATGGCTTCTCTCCTGTGTGGAGTCTTTTGTGCCTGACCAAAGTTGAACTGTGAGCAAAACATTTCCCACACTCCAGGCATTGGTATGGCTTCTCTCCTGTGTGGTGTCTTTTGTGGCTCACCAATTGTGAACTGTCAGCAAAACATGCCGCAGACTCCTGACATCTATATGATGCCTGTCCTGTGTGAAATCTGTCATGTTTCACCAAGTGTGAACTCTGGATAAGAGATTTCTCACACTTCTGGCTTATGAAATCCTCAGTTCTTTCCAAAATTCCTTTTTGGCTCATATGTGGTAATTTGTAATCAGCATCACATTTTGCTGATTCTTTCCAAAGATGGCTTTTCTCAGCATGAAGTGTCTTGTCAAGGACAGGTGCCATGTTTTTGGGAAAGCATTGCCCACGTACATTGCATTTGTAGGGCCTTTCTCTGACAGAACCTCTGTCTTCTCTGTTGGTTTGCTGGTGTCTAGGAAGATCCCCATTGTACTCAAAATGCTTTCTGTGTTTGGTGCATACATTGCTCGTCTTCCAGTTATCTGCTGTGAAGAAGAGGGAAGGAAGCAATCATTCCTCAGTGTGAGTGATAAGGACTCTAATGAAGTGGGGTACCAAGTGGATTGAAATGATCCTCAAAACAATGTAGACTTGGAGGAAAGTAAGATATAAATGCTGTCCCTCTCCCTACCCCATGTTAAGTAAGGATGGACACTGTTTGACTGCCTGGAACCTCTAAGGCAGAAATGAGTAACATATGTTCCAGAGACTACCTGTTGCTCAGCCCTTCCTTTTCTGACTCCTTCCCTCTGGGGGAATGGATGCTTTCTCCTTTCATATTCAAACGCTTGCCCTTTTCTCTAGCTAAGATTTTACCTCGCTACCAAGCATTTCACAATTGTTTCCTCCTTTTTATTTCTCTTTCCCAACTTCCAGTTCTAATGTGGGCCGATAATAGTAAAATAACTCTCCTCCATGACAGTAAATTACCACCACTCTGGTCAACCGTGGATATACAAACGTAACACCAGACCAGGTAGCACACCAGCTAATTCAGAATGGGAAAACCAACTGCAGCAGAGTAAACGTGAAAATCAACAGAGCGCCAGAACTTGAAACCTACCAGTTATTTTCTCCCCTAAACCTGAAAGAACTCAGAAAAGCTATTAAGCCATGTAAAACTGGTAAAGCACCTGGCCTAGATGACTTAATAATGGAGCAAATCAAACACTTGGGCTCCAAAGCCGAAAACTGGCTTTTGAAATTTTATAATCTGTGCTTGGCACACAGACAGACTATGGAGAAAACTAAGATCATTGCCATTTTACAACCTGATAAAGACACCTCCAATGCCAGGAAGTACCAACCAATATAGATCATCTATATAAAGAATATGAGAGGATGGTATTAAATCAATTGGGACCTGTTATTAAACCCCAGCTTATTGCACAAGAAGCAGGTTTCAGACCAGGGAAAAACTGTACAGCCCAAATCCTTAATCTGACTGAGTACATCGAGGAAGGATATGAGAAAGGTTGCATTACTGGAACAGTTTTTGTTGACTTTATGGCAGCCTATGATATGGTGCAACATAGGAAAATGTTGCAGAAAGTCCACCACAGAAAGTTTACTATATTACCCGAGACTATGACTTTACAAAAACTGTCCAGACCCTCCTAGACAACCTCAGCTTCTATGTGGCATTTCAAGGCAGGAAAAATAAATGGAGGGGGCAAAAGAATGGTTTACCCCAAGGCAGCGTTCTAGCACCGACCTTGTTTAACTTCTTTACTAACGATCAGCCACCGCCACCACTCACAAAGAGCTTTATATATGCTCATGACCTTGGCCTAACAACACAAGCAAAAGACTTTGAAACAGTCGAAATCCAACTTACTAATGCCTTGAAACATCTCTCCAGCTACTACAAACATATCCACCTGAAGCCTAACCCTGCCAAGACACAAGTGTGTGCTTTCCATCCACGTAATCGTGAAAGCAACAGGAAACTGAAAGTTACCTGAGAAGGCCAAGAGTTCGAACACTGTTCCCACTCTAAATATCTCGGCCTCATCTTAGACAAAATGTTAACATTTAAGAAACATTGTGCAAAAACACTAAGAGATCTATATATTACTAATTATGTCATATATTTCTAACATAAGCCCTGCCTTCAGTGACTGGGATGATTTAGGATATTGCTCCCATCAGAGAGCTGCTGATTGGGATACTGCATTTTGAAATAGAAATCCCTATAAGTGAGGGAGCCTTACCAAGAGAGTCCACAATCCCATGAATCTCCTCCATGATCTGCACGTGCAAGACTTTCTGACCAGGATTCAGGAGAGCCCACTCCTCCCAAGAGAAACGAACAGCCACGTCCTCAAAGGCGATTGGGCCCTGGGGGGAAAATAAAACATTTCTTTGTCACATAAAGACTATCAAGAAAAATAATTTCAATAATCGCTTTAAAACAGATGTAGAATCAGAAATGGAATCTGGACATGTTCTTGGCCAGGGGTCCTCAAACTTTTTAAACAGAAGGCCAGTTCACAGTCCTACAAACTGTTGGAGGGCCGGATTATAATTTGAAAAAACATGAATTAATTCCTATGCACACTGCACATATCTTATTTGTAGTGAAAAAAAAACCCACTTAAAATAATACAATTAAAATGAAGAACAATTTTAACAAATATAAACTTAATAGTATTTCAATTGGAAGTGTGGGCCTGCTTTTGGCTGATGAGATAGGGTTGTTGTTGTTGTTGTTGTTGTTGTGTGCTTTCAAGTCATTTCAGACAGGTTAGCCCTGAGTGAGGGCCGGGTAAATGACCTTGGAGGGTCGTATCCGGCCCTCAGGCCTTAGTTTAAGGACTCCTGTTCTAGGCTTTACTGTTTTGCCCAGAACGGGACACAGTGTTATTCCAGGTGAGGTCACAGTGTTATTCCAGGTGAGGTCACAGTGTTATTCCAGGAGATCACCATGACTTCCCTTAACCTTCATCACATTGAAGGATGTTAGGATTTCTGGGAGTTGAAGGCCAAAACTACGCCGAAGCTTGTTACAGAAAGTGGGCCAAAGCTAGGAAAGTGAATAGGACGAATCTGTTAGAATTAGTGGGCCAAAGCTAGCATTGCCCTGAGGAGAGTGAATAGGACGAATCTGTTAGAGTTAGTGGGCCAAAGCTAGCGTCGCCCTGAGGAGAGTGAATAGGACGAATCTGTTAGAGTTAGTGGGCCAAAGCTAGCATCGCTCTGAGGAGAGTGAATAGGCTGAAGCCTGTTAGAGTTATTGGGCCAAAGCTAGCGTCGCCCTGAGGAGAGTGAATAGGCCGAAGTCTGTTAGAGTTAGTGGGCCAAAGCTAGCGTCGCCCTGTGGAGAGTGAGTAGACCAAAGCCTGTTAGAGTTAGTGGGTCAAAGTTAGCATTGCCGTGGGGAAGTGAGTAGGCCAAAGCCTGTTAGTGGGCCAAAACTAGCGTTACTCTGCTGTACATTTATGGGGAGGGTCTTTTGCTAATAAGCCCACTTTCCTAACAGAATCCTTCTGCTTACCTGATCCAGTTCCACTCCATCACAAAGAGGAAGAAATAACTGAGGATTCGGCAACAACGTCATTCCTGCCCCTGGGAGAAAAGCAGATGTTACACCTACTCTCCTAAAAAGAAACCTATCAGGAAATGCCCCTATGAACACAGAAACATTCAACAGCCCAAGAATTATTATTTTTTTAAAAAAAAGAGGTTTAGACTGATATTTCAAATGTGATTTCTGTAGGTTATTGTACAAATATGGTATGTCCAGGGGAGGGGCAGAGAGGGGGGCAAAACAACAAATAATAAAACAATATTTTAAAAAGCAGCCCAGGAATATGTAAAATTTTAGGGTTTATGACCTTGTCTCACAAGCAGTGCCGTGAATAGGTTGAATTGAAACTAGTACTGGACTTGGTATTTCAATGGACTAAAGTTATTCTTCGTTGTCTATTTGTCTTCCAGTTCTATTTGTCTTCAGTTTCAGGTCTCATCTTAGCTTCGGATCCCCACCTAGGAAGATACTGTAGTGCTGAATTTTCAGTCCTATTCAACTTTAGGCTAATGCACAAGTAGTGCAAGAAAGAAATCTGTAAATCACACTGAAATTACACATTTTACAACCAAATGCCTACATATATACTTACCTCAAGGCCAAAAGATTCGGCATATGCATCTTCTCAAGCTTAAACTGTGGATGTGCTACAATCCACATAAGGGAATTTACACTGGCATAAAACACCAAAACTCCCAGAAGGGTTCCTTCTTACCCTCCAAGGTTACAGGCGCATCTCCTTCCTGCTTCAGCTCCTTCTGCCTGAGGCTCTGGGTGGTGTCTGATGGAAGTTGCTCTGATGCTGGGACATTTGACTGGGCTTTGATGCAGTTATTTTGGATCTGGAAAAGCACAAAGCATTCCAAAATTAGTATGTAGAAAGTAAAAAAACAAACACAAACCTATGTATAGAAACTGTATGGACTGTTTTAAAATAATAACTCTGAGATGGCTACCTAGTTTGAAACAAGTGCCATACTCCCCCTCCCATTATTTTCAATGTGATATCTGGCAACAGCAAATTTGGGTAGAGTAGCAACCAAGCTCACAGGAGATACGGAGGTGAGAGCAGGAGGGATAGAGCAGGTGGGAAAAGAGGCAGAAGGAGCAGAGTCCGGCTTCTTCCTCACATCAGTCCCATCTTGGAAGAAAGGCAAGACGTAAGTCCCAAGGTGAGTGAAGCCAAGAGGCAATGCTCTCACCTGTCCTTCCTGCTTCCTGTCCTCTGCCCGACTCAGGAGGAAGCCTTCTGCCAGGGCCACCGCCTGGGACGAGGTCTCTGCCCCACACTCTCGGACCCAGCTCCCCATCTCTGGGGGCAGGATGCTCAGGAACTGCTCCAGGATCACCAGGTCCAGCATCTCCGCCTTGGTGTGTTGTTCTGGCTTCAGCCACTGGCAGCAGAGAGAGTGGAGGCGGCTGCAAACCTCTCTGGGTCCCTCGCCCTCTCGGAAGGAGGAATGCCTGAAGCGCTGGCGCTCTATGTGTGAGCTATAAAGGTCCACACTCTGGGACTTATGTGTAGTCTTTTCCCAGGATGCTCCACTGTTCCCAAGTCCTGCTTCAGGTCCAGGTGAGTTGGGTCTCTCCATGTTGGAACCACACGTTGATGAAGAAGCAAACTGGATCCAAGATGCTATTCCTCCCTCTTCTTTCTAGGGAAAGAAATTCCTCAACATGCTTTACTCCAAACATCACATTTCCTCTGAGAAAGAAAGGCAGAACTAGACAACAGGCTTCAGGGAGCTTTTTAATGAAGTGTAAAAACAAGCCCTTTATTTGGGTTGTTGTAGATTTTTTTCGGGCTATATGGCCATGTTCTAGAGGCATTCTCTCCTGACGTTTTGCCTGCATCTATGGCAAGCATCCTCAGAGGTAGTGAGGATGCTTGCCATAGATTCAGGTGAAATGTCAGGAGAGAATGCCTCTAGATCAATGGTTCTCAACCTGGGGTCCCCAGATGTTTTTGGCCTTCACTCCCAGAAATCCTAACAGCTGGTAAACTAGCTGGGATTTCTGGGAGTTGTAGGCAAAAAACATGTTGAGAACCACTGCTCTAGATTCTAGAACATGGCCCTATAGCCCGAAAAAACCTACAACAACCCAGTGATTCCAGCCATGAAAGCTTTTGACAAGCCCTTTATTTATTTCAGACCCTGAATCCTCCTTTCACTTGGGCCTCTGCTTCTCCAGCCTCCAGAACAGTGATTTTCAACTGGTGAGTCCCCGGGTATTTTGGCCTTCAACTCCCAGAAATCCTAAATTGGTAAACTGGTTGGAATTTCTGGGAATTGTGGGCCAAAACAGCTTAAGGTTTAGAACCACTGGTCTAGACTCACCTGGCCTCCCATTGAGCTCCCATTAAGTCCCAACCCACACTGAATCCCCCCATGATTCCTTCAGCTGATGCCTCGTGATCCATAGCCTTTCTTGTGAAGAAGAATCAAGAGACTTTGAAACAATAGACAAAACTCAATACAACAACAGAAGTAAAATTTTTGAGAATCCAGATGGCAAACAGAGACTGAATTATTTAAAAACTCAAGGGGGAAATGAGGACCCAGGCAGGGAGGTGAGTAGGTGGGGAGGGGAAAGCCATGGGCCTCTCCCTGCCTGCCTCTCTCTCCTCCCAAAGTTTCCCCCGGTTGGAGAAGTGACAACCTCACAGTCTGTTGTGATGACCCCCAATCAATCCCATTTCCATCAGGCCCCCTTTTCTCCATGCTCCCTCTCCTTTCAAGGAGGAGAGCTTAGAAAGTTGTTGTCTTCCTTGTTCAATGTGTGACTCCACATGGGTTGGAAAGCCAACCTGGGAGTGAAACAGGCCTGGGCCAACTCTGGCCTTCCTTCCAGGTGTTTTGGGTTTTAGCCCCTCTTTGGCCCTTTGGAGAAGGTCTGGGATCAAGACTCACCAGGAGAGGGAGAAGAAAAAGAAGATGAAGGAGAAAAGAGACAGGCTGCAAGGAGGATGAGGAGGAGGAGGAAGAAGAAGAGGCCAAAGGGGCAAACTCCCCTCTCCCAGCCGGGCAAGGAAGGGTTAAGGGGAGGGAGTTTGGTTCCTAGAAGGACATAAAAGGCAGGTATTAGGAGGCCCACTTACTTCCTGCCTCTCTGGGAACCAAACTTCTTCCCCTTAACCCTTTCTTGCCCAGCGTTACACTGGAAGGAGGGGGAAAGAGCATCTCTCAAAAGTCTTATGACCAAAGGACTAGGGTCTGGAGAACAAGCCCTATGAGGAGTGGCTTAAAGAGCTGGGCATGTTTGGCCTGAAAAAGAGAAGGCTGAGAGGAGACATGATAGCCATGTATATATATGTGTGAGAAAGGCACAGGAAGGAAGGAGCAGGCTTGTTTTCTGCTTCCCTGGAGACTAGGACGCAATGGAACAATGGCTTCAAACTACAAGAGAGGAGATTCCATCTGAACATGAGGAAGAACTTCCTGACCATGAGAGCTCTTCAACAGTGGAACTCTCTGCTCCAGAGTGTGGTAGAGGCTCCTTCTTTGGTGGCTTCTAAACAGAGGCTGGATGGCCATCTGTCGGGGGTGCTTTGAATGCTTCTTATTTATTTACTTTGCTTATATACCGCTGTTCTCAGCCCAGGGGCGACTCACAGCGGTGTACAACATAGAAAGAACAAGGTTCAAAATACAAGACACAATATAAAATAATCCACAATCCATCATTAACAAAAAACATCATCATCAAAAAACAGGGTGCTGGACTGGATGGCCCATGAGGTCTCTTCCAGCTCTATGATTCTATGACTAAAGATGATGACAGAGATGTAGTCATGGAAGAAAAATTCTGTATTCATTGGATAGTTAGTTTGATGTATTCTCTCCTTGTCAAGTCCTTGCTCCCCACTTAACATTAAGGTGACTCAATCCATCCAGGGAGCAGAGCAGAGCCTCCATCTATAACAGAAAAGGAAGGTCTCAGCTTGGGGTCAAGTCCCAGGGCTCCCTTTTCCGAAGGAGGAACAACACACATTTGGGTGGGAGAGACAACCAAAGCACCCACCACAAGCAGGCTCTTCCTTGCCCATGACCTTTGAGACATCCCCTGCTGCAATGGCTATTCTTCAAAGCAGCACTCTCCCAAGGCAGGGGAAGCTTAGTTCAGAGATTGGTTGGAAAAGTGTCACTGATTTCCACGTCTCTGTCTTTCACAGGACTATGACAATGGAGTAGCAGATATAGTGGAGTAAGTAGATATACCCAGCCTGTCCCCCGTACAACTGGCTGTAACTCATTGAGGTGCAGACTTTCATCCACCTTGGTTGAACGATAAGTAAAAGCCAGCATGGTGTTTTGAGATGCTTTAAAACAACTGATTTTTAAAGTAGATGCAACTGTTTGTAGTGTTGAGAGGAACGTGATTTTAAAATGTGATTTTCTAATGATTGCAAGTCACAGATGTCATTTGCAGAGAGGCCTTGCTTGCCAGAAATTACCGATGCTTAGTAAATGCTGCCAGAGAGAAGTTATTGTTCTCTATGCTTTCCATCGCTCAAGAATACAAGTTGCTAGATAATCCTGCACACTGACACTCTCTAATTTCTCACAGGCATGTAGAGAAGCAACATACAAGTAGATAAGCCAACCAGTGACTTCACAGCTCAGGGTCAGACATTTGAACGGTACTATTGTTATTAGGCTTCTGCTGTTAGAAAGATAGAAGAACCAATGCAATTCCATAATGGTCAGCAAAGGCCATTGAGATGATTGATTTCTGAAGACCAATCAAACTGTCTTCTGTTTTTAATGAATGTCATAAATATCAATACAAACTTTAGGTTGGACAAACCTTTTGATTGCATCCTTATATGCATGTTTTGTTACTATTGCTGTCGGCCTGTGGAAAGGGGTGATCTTCTCTCGGATTTGGATTTATGGAATATCTTAGTCTTTTTGCCCCCACAGTGTATATTTATAGTTAATTTATGTTCCAGCATGGAATGCATGCCGTATGTATGTTGTGCTTCGCTCTGAGTCCCCTTCAGGGTGAGAACGGCGGAATATAAATGTTTCAAATAATAAATAAATAAACGGCACTCCATGCAGTCATGCTGGCCACATGACCTTGGAGGTGTCTATGGACAATGCCAGCTCTTCGGCTTAGAAATGGAGATGAGCACCAACCCCCAGAGTCAGACACAACCGGACTTAATGTCAGGGGAAAATCTTTACCTTTACCTGAATAAATAAAACAAAAATAGAACCCACAATACATTTGGCATGCTTGAGGTTTTGATGGCACACTTGATATCTAACTTACGCCTTTGCTCCTCAATCCATTTACCTGGTTGGAGATGGAAAATGGCAATACTGGTCCCTGCACACTGTGAAACACAAATTGTGCTTAATGTAAAATAAACCATGTGTAGTTCACATTTGATCAGCCCACACACTGTCTTGCCAGAGAAAGAACACGTGCCATGCAGGTGAACAATAAATTAGGTTTAATGACTATGTTTTAAGTGGCATTCAGTCTTGCTGGAGTTGTAAGCGCCTTGAGTCCCCCTACTGCAGAGGTTCCCAACCTGTGGTCTGTGGACCACCAGTGGTCTGCAAGAACTAAAATATGGTCCGCGACCTCACCGTTACTACACCATTGCAACAAGAGAGACTTGTCTTGTGAAACCCTCTTATAGTGCTGAGGCTTATTAAATATGGTTTTCTGTGGGTGAGCAGATGGTGACTACTGGATAGCATATGTTCTGTATCAGAAAGTAGAGCTAATGTGGTCTATCCAATGCAATTTTCTGCCTCAGCACCCCTCAAAACACCCCAAATTGAATCTAAAACATTTCTAACCTTTTTGGTACTAATGTTGGAGA